CCTCTAACCATTGACCAACCTGGTATGAGAGACTCTGTGAGTGTCGCGCGGACACCCCCCAGTATAGCTCAATGGGTCGCCGAGGTACACAAACCGCCACACCACGATAAGGTCCAGTCTCTTCGTGTCGGTCAGCAACATTCTCCGATCAAGATGGCTTATTAGATCCGCAACCAGTATCCAGCAGAGACTGCTGGAGAATGGATACGCGAACGACCTAACACCCACTTATAGACTGCCTTAAGAGGTAAAGTTAGACCGTAAGCACCAACTCACTCAGGTTGCCTCACTAGAGTTAATGGTCAATAGTCCAAACGGAATTAGAAACGGTCCAACGATTGATGACCAAGACAATGAAGTTAGATGACAGAGATTTTGTCACCACCAGAACTAAATGTACAGATTCATTTCAACCTGAAATGACTGCGTGAAATCCAAGATTGGTGTCTTCGGGGTCGTGAGTAAAATTTACAGGTAATCTCCGAAATGATGAATTTGGAGTAAGTACACGGATCAAAATGAATGAAACGACGGATATTCCAGACAGTACGTTCCCACTTGCGAATATGTTCGGCTCAGTTTAGACAAAGTCACAAAACATGCGCCAACTGTATATGGTTCCAGTAGCAACGGTTTCACTCACCCGAATATGAATGACCAGGAAAAGATTGACCAGAAGCAGATTAATTGATTTGAGTAGTTCCTAGTTGTCTACGGAAGTGGCAAATTGGGGTAACTAAGAATAGCATGTGGGCTCTGCTGTACGGAAGTCACTGGGCGCGATACTGAACAATGTCTGTCAGTATCATTGATCATCGTTGAACCGGGTCCTGAGGTCCCAACCCAATGACTTCACTGGTTGTGGCATCCATACACGAAACTAAGGGAGAGCCACGCGAAATTTGAGATGAATCTTGGTGGAGAACACGAATCTACTCAGGTTATTTCAGTATGGTGGTTAGTCAAGAGTTCGAATGAGATTAGAAAGATGATTGAAGCAATCAAACCGTGATTGCGTGGACACGAACGGGCGCGATTTGTAGAACTGGAGAAGAGTGAATTCGAGGTATTTGTCTAAGGGGTCACAGCCTTTATTTCTGTTATACTTGTTGAACCGAATGCACGTTGATTTGGATTGCTTTGCTCTGAAATGGATCAGCACGCTAGGTGGTTGAAAGCACTATCAAACACTGGCTTAGCGAACGGATTTGTCACATATCCAGACTTCGTTCGGGCACGCAACTCCACTCTGTGAGGTCAGCCGAAAGCCATCATCAGTATGGTAGAGGTGAAACGATAGATCGGTATTATTTTGATGCTATTTCTAAACTCCGAATCATTGCGTGATCAAAAGCTAAGCAATTCAGTCATAGCATGTCTTTTCATATACGAATCACTTTAAGGGAACACAATGAGTTAAGTTAGGGTGCTTAGTTTCCCGTTCTGACCATAGCTGACATGTGTTATTTTTGGTAGTCGCCGAGAAAAACATCTGATCGCACCAAAGTTGTACTCCTCCGGATGCTCGACAAACTTTTTGGATAAGATGGGGATATTTCGTTTCTAGACAGCATACGCAAACCGTAGGATATTGTACGAGTACTAAATGAGAGCGTCCTCAGATCAATTACTGACAAGATAAATTAGGGAGACTACTTTATGTAAGCTGGGACGAAGTGTTAAGGATAAAAGAAGCAACTAACCTGCACAATTATACATTCACATAAATGCCCTGCTGTCTCCAAAATACCTCTGTAGTACAAGAGGATTAGAAATAGTCCGGGAGCAAACAGTAGGATGTTCATTTTGACTGACACGCCCAGGCTGAGATGAAAATAGACAGTGTATAAGCAACGGGGAAAAACAACGAGTGGCAAGAAAAGGGAGCACACCAGATAGCGTGGAGTTAGCCATAGTGCGCCAAACTCGTAACAGCCCTTTGAAAATATCTATGAAAAGTGGGCGATACAGTGACCTTCGGCCCAAGCCCATGAGTACACCCTTGACCCATCCATTTAAGCTAACTTGATACAGCAACCGCGAAACAGGCAACGGACCAAAGCACAGCAGTCTCAGTTGCTATTTTCCCCCGAGTAGTGGATAGACAGAGGAAAGAGCAATTCAAGAACAATAGATTGTCTCTTTAACACAGAAAGCTGAAAATTGGCCCATACTGAGGGGACAAGTGTTTGATGCTTTTCTACAGTAGGATTTTGGAAAAACGGGGCCCTGGAGGTAATATCCAACTGAGGAGTAAATCTGGCTATGTTGGATATAGTGTATTTCGGTGTATCTGGCGGAAAGTGTTCTCCCTGTTTTAATCTGGAAGGATGGGTATGAACTGTTTTGATTGTCTCAAATAAATATGTCCGCTTCGACACACATCACTTCTACATACAGATCCACGATAAACAATGCTGGTCCTTTGTTGGACATTTGGTAGTGTACGGCCAATCCATTTATGCTGAAAATTCTCTGGAATAAATGGAATAAGATCCCATTCGCTAAAAGCGTTTACCTACAGAAACGATCTCTCGCACGTTTTTACCAATTTAAGAATTGACACCAGCTTGACTGAATGCTTATTAGCATTGAAAGTTCTGACGAATATAAGCATCTGGTAGCGTTATTGCAATCTTACTCCTATGCAAACCCAAAGTTGGGTTAGTTGAGATTGAAAACTTAGCAAATTGAAACGCCATTACAAAATTACATCCCGTGAGTCGTAGTCAAGCACTCTAGCCTATAGAAATACATCAAATTAACAAAGTGACCTAGTTTTCTAGTGAGCACTTCATTGTCGTATGATGATTCGAATGACTCCTCTAGCGATGACTCCTCAGATGGAAGTGAATTTTATTCTTCAGTTAGCACGTGTGAATACGTGATGTCGATCCTGTGAATGAAGGATGACCGGTGCCATGTCCTACTCAAATGCAAGCTAATCACACTGTTGGTGGGTCGCTTGTTGCCGAATTGTTAAGTGCTCAAACTATTAACCAGGAGGTGGCGACCACAAGACCATTCCGTCTCGAGACTCGCAATGATGACGATTGGCAACAAGGATAGAACAGTTGTACAATGCCTCACGACTTTGCAGCATAGATTGGCTCCACATGCAGGACGAAACTCTGTTAAAAATCCCCGATTCCTCCACACTACAAATAAATGGTTTATTGATTCCGACAATGGTGGGAATAAGTGGTGCTTGACACGTGTAACTGAATGACGTACCTGAAGAATATGCAGGCCAAAGTGAACTTTCCATACAGTAGAAAGTTAACGCAAGCGTAAAGTGCAATCATTGCCAGTGGATCGTTGAATAGCCGGAGAACATATATTGAGTGTATCCGATAGGATATAACACACATGAATACAAAAACGTACGGGGGGACCTAATGGTAAATCAAATGAGAAACACAAAATGATTGATTACCTGACATGAAAGTCTGTATATGTTGAAGACCAAGACTAGTGTGAGCAGATAGAGTCCAATAAAAATATACTGGGCTAAATGAATCAGAGTTCCCCGGCTGGTGATCTGATATAACATCCAGTAAATATAGAGGAAACCAGCCGGGTACCTGGAAAGAAGTCACAGTTTAATGACGCTCACAAGCGCCGCACGTACACACACGGTCCAGTTTGACCCTCCAGCTTGTCATAATCCAATGTCCCATTCACAAAGCCCTCCACTTCCTGCATGTAAGCGATCCAATCAATTTCGGTATCTTGAAACGCGATGTCAAGGAACAGTTGAAAAGAGTTGAACATACATTTGACGTTCCATACTACAAACAAGCTGAGAGCGAGTTCCGCAAACAACAGTATACAAGAAACAGGTAGATATCCATTTTTGGAAAACAATATCCAACTGGAAAACTTCTCAACTGCTTGTAAAACCATGCTATTTTGAGTGTGGTCCGAAATCAAGATTTCAAGCGAACTAGATTTTCACAAATGGCTAAAAAAACAAGAGAGACAAAAAGGATTAGTAATGTCTAATTATCCGGAAGCCCGTTGTAAATTGATATTACTAGTGGTAGTCCGGACAGCTTCCTTAGGTAATCAGGAAACATCTTTCAATTTAATAATAAATAAATAACCACTCAGCTGCGATACCCTTTAGGTACCTAACTACCATGCCGCCCGAAGGAAGCATGAAGGCTGAGATGTTCGTGGTTGCTCGAGCCTTCTAGTCGAAATATGTACAACCGGTTCACTCCAGGAAACAGACCTTGTAGCATTTCGCTGATCGAGGACGGAATAAGCAATGTGACCTTGTTTTTGTATTGCAAAACCTGTGCTCCTGTCTATGCTTGGGCAACATGGGAATATCCTAGCCCTAGTGCTTTCTTCGGGTGGCATGGCAACTAGGCGCAGTTCAGCGACTGGAGACGAGTTTTATCAAGGTCTATCACGACTTCTTCGGTGGGCAAGAAGGACGGATATAATAATCCTGGTGGGTGATATGATTACCCAAGTTGGACGACTAAGTCCGGAAGAAGCACAGATGGTCGACTTGGAGCCGATGCTGAGCGTATGGATAATGGAGAGCGACTTCTTCAGTTGTGTGCAGATAACCGTGTTCCAGACCAGTACGAACTTCCAGCACAAACGCACACGCCGATTTACCTGGAGGCCACTTACCACAAGACAGTCGTGGACTCAATTGGACCATATGACCAGTGGGGAGCCATTGGAGAGCCCCAGTTACGGATTGTCGTTCTATCTGGGGTACGCAACTCGACTCTGACCACGCCATCGTGCGAAACCGCTTAGCGCTTCACTTTCTGCCAGCACTACGCATGCCTAAGGAGAGCAGTTCCGTTCATCAACTTCGACAAGTTTCAGTTGCTGAAGTGTCGAGCTGATCCGGCCAGAATGCTAATTGGAAACGCACAGTCATGTGGACGACGAAGATTGCTTGGGGGATGGATGGAAGCGAGTTAAAGAATCGGTGCTCTTAGCTTTCAGAATTGCTTGTCCAGGCCATCTGACTCGACTAAATTAAATACTGGATATCATCGAGATCAGATCTCTCTGCCAGAAAGGCCATACTAGCAACTACCGACTATCATGGTGCACATAGATCCATCAAACACTGGACAATCAGAAGCTTGAAGAATGACAGAACGCTGGTGGATTTCGAAGACCCAGGAGATGGAGAAGGTTTGCGCTGAGGGCAACAGTCGCGCCCTGTTTCAACTGATCCGACCAACGGGTCAAAAGAAAGCAGGTGTCAGTGAGATAATGAACGAAAAAAGACGGAATGATGATTCACTCCCTTAATCGCCGTCTTGAGCGGCGGGCTGAGTACTTCAAAGAACAGTCCACTTGGTCTCCTTCACATAACCACTGGAAGAACTAAGAGGTCCCGAATGGAATATCTACACCAACTGAAATCCAGCGTGAGATTTCAATCCTGAAGTGCGACAAGACACTTAGCCCGGATGGTCTACACCCCACGTTCATCAAAGAAGGTGGCGAGGTCCTGGTGAACAGTCTGACAACCATTGATGTGGCCCGCCTCGGGGAAGACGACAGTGACCAGCGCAGCTGGTCAAGTCATTGTTTGACCACCTCTGGCTCTCTTCCACCCTACACCTGGTTGGGCGAAAAGAGCCCTTCGATGAAGTCGGTCGACTGGCATACGCAGCACATGGCCAAGCAAGCGCAAGTGTGATCAGTTCATTTGTCGAGGGTGTGTAATCTCTCCCGAATACCATTCGACGTACTTCAGAATTGCTGATCCGGTGTTCCCACCAGATTCGGGCAATGCTCCGAAGACATCGATGGTCGGACACTGAAAGTCTTTTGACGTCCTCAGCACGCAGTGGCCAGGTTTTTGACCCATATAGTAATATGCAGCGCACCGCAGCATTGTAAACTCGACCCTTGACAGAGAAACTGATGTCACGCCTACACCAGAGGTGACGTAGGTTCTCAAAAGCTGCTCTAGCCTTCCCAATCTGGATGGGAATATCATCTTTCGCGAGACCACCGGGACTGATACAGCTGCCCAGGCAAACAAATTTGTCTACTACCTCAATCGGTTCATCCGCAAGCATGAGGCTAGGGTGCGAGCCCACCCAGTCTTGCAGTAGCGCTTTACACTTTGCAGGTGTGAAGCGCATATCAAACCGCGAGGCAGAATTATTTAGATTATTTAGTATTGTTTGCATTGCCCTGGGGTCAGATCCAAGAAGAGCTATGTCGTCTGCGTACTCGATGTCTGTGAGCGGAGGCCCAGGGAGCACTTCGACCCCACAGGCATTAGAGGCTGGTAGTGCGTCTTCCATGATCTCGTCAATGACGAGGTTGAAGAGGAAAGGTGAAAGAGGACAACCCTGTCGGACGCCACTTGATGTGGTGAACTCAGGAGAGAGCTTCCCGTAGACCTTTACACGGCCTCGGGAGTTAGCGTACAGCGCCTTAATGAGGGTCAAGAATTTACGGGGGACACCTTTGCTCCGCAGACACTGTCAGTGCTTGGCGGTCCACAGAATCAAAGGCCGCTTTCAGATCAAGAAAAGCAACCATTGTTGGTTGCTGGAAGCAGTGTGGCTGTTCCAGAATCTGTCGGAGGGTGAATACATGATCGATGCAACCTCTTGCAGAACGGAACCCAGCTTGGTTTTCACGGATTTGCCTCTCCCTGTGTTCAGTCAACCTTCGAGGGATAAGGCCAGAGAGCACCTTCGATGCCAGTTAACAGGCTGATGCCACGGTGGTTTTCACATAGCGTCCGCGTACTCTTTTTGAAGATAGGGATAACTGCCGACATGCCCCATTCTGCTGGCACTTTCTCTTCGTCCCATACAGCACCAATAAGTTTTGTCAGGTGGGTCACCAGGGATTTTCCACCTTTTTTGAAGAGGACTGGATACAGACCGTCTGATCCTGGTGCCTTCACACGTTTCAGTACGGCAATTTCGTATCTTATTTCTTCTTCCGAAAGGTGATCAAGGTTTACATTCCATTCGCCCGTATGCATTATCTCCACCGGCTGTGTTGCAGGAGGCCCGCCTTCGAAGGG